CCGGATTATATATCTTTCTGATCTTTCTTTATATATATATATATATATATATATATATATATATATATATATATATATAGATCGATAGATAGAGAGATACTAGCAGTAAACCCGTCTTTGACAGGGTCTTTCATTACTGGGAATTTTTGCCATTCACTTGGAGCAGTTTAAGTTTAGAGTCAGCCCACTAGAAAATCAATATTAGTAACAACATTTGGGTGCAACTGGGGCAAATCGGATTTGCTATTTGTTAATGGTAGTGTTATCTGCATAAATGCCTACATGGGTTAACACTTTGAATGGGGCTGTGGCCCTGAGACGGGAACTGTATAAATAATAAATAATATTATTGTAATAATTTGAACTATTTATTTTTATTAAAGTTTCTATGAAAGATATATATATATATATCCAAGAACGGATAAATTATAGTAAAAGATAATAGATGCTGAGAGTTATAATCGACAGGAAGTAGTGGAGAGCCATTGTCGCCAACGATTTGGACTCAAAACCGGCACTGAAGAATTATCTATCAAACAAAAAAATTCATTGAAATCGGATGTAAACTGTGAAATTAACAAATAAACATCCGATTATACACACACACACATACACCCCCCATGCCCCCACACGCACCCCCCATGTACCACACCCCCCACCCCCACATGCACTCCCACAATTAAACATATTTTGGGAAATCAGGTTTCGATAGTTATAGTTAATTATATAAATTTAACTATATAATAATAATCAATATTATTATTGTAATAATTTAATATTTTTTATTAAATCTTTTTATGAAAGATATATATCCAAGTAGAGATAGTGAATAGAAATACATTGCTGAGAATCATAATGGGCAGGAAGTAGTGGAGAGCCATTATCGCTAACAGTTTGGACTCAAAATCAGCACAGAAGAATAATCTATCAAACAAACAAAAATCATCGAAATCGGATGAAAACTGTGTTAATGCATAAACAACATCCGATCACACACACACATTCACAAATACACAAAGACATTTTGAGAATTATATATACAAACATGCATACATACTTATATATATATATATATATATATATATATATATATATATATATATATATATATATATATACGAGACTCACATATAAACATACATTAAACACACATTTTGAAAAATATACGGGGTGTCCATAAAGTTCGTGTGCACTTTAAAAAATTTTAACTTTATATGTAATTGTAACAGAGATCATTTGTAAAAAGGATTAGAAAGAAGTAAATCTATATTTCTTTAGGTTTTATTGAAATTTTATTTAAGTTTCCAAATGTCCTTCATCATTAGCAATACAAAATACAACACGATTTTGCAGTTGACGGAAAACATTTGTCAACTGATTTACAGTAATGCCTGAAATCACATTAGTTATTTTAGCTATACTTAAAACTAGGTACATTAAACTTTATAACATTTTTTACAGATTATTTCTATCGCAAATACAAATAAAGTTATAAATTTTTTAAAGTGCACATATTTTTATAGACACTATATATATATATATATATATATATATATATATATATATATATAATTATTTATTTAGAAAATTTATAACATAAACACGTTATAAAAATCACTACAAAAATAGCTATTTTGTTTCAACAACCCTTTGGTGTCTTATTTTTGATGATGTTGAATTAAAAACAAATTTTGTTTTTTTAAAATATATATATATATATATATATTATTATGGGTTTCATATTTTGCAATGAGAAAACAACAAGATTGTAAAACCCAGAAAAAAAATCACATCAATGAAAACAAAATATATTTAAAGCTCTTTCTCTGATATTATTTTTTTCTAAAATTAATATATATTTATATCTGAGGCAAATATATATATATATATATATATATATATATATATATATATATATATATCAAATATAAGAAAATTTGAACATAGAAATATTTTATATATACATTGATATATATATATATATACATATATATATTTTATATATATTAAATATATATATTTATATAATATACTTTTAATATATATTTTATATATACAATATATATATATATATACATCTATATTTTATTTTATATTCTATATATATATATATATATATATTTTATATATATTTATATTTTATATATATATTATATATAAAATAGTTTTTATATATATATATATAAATAAATATATATATAAAATATTTAACATACATATACATATATAAATATATATATATATATATATATATATATATATATATATATATATATATATATATATACGGATAAACTTTGGAGTAAACCAAAAAAATTTTTTATAAAAAGGGCTTTATTTCTCTGATGGAACTTTTATAAGGTAAATGTATTATTTTATTTTAAAACTGATATAAAGAAAAAATTTATTGTTAATATAAACATTTTTTTTAATACACGCACATAAATTGACATTTCAAACACACACATATACATTTTTATATATATATATATATATATATATATATATATATAAATATATATATTAAAAAGAATTTCTGAAAAAAACAAATTATTTCAATAAGATGAAATTGACTTCCTACACAAATCGACTTCAGGGACGACTTTGCGTAAGAATGCCCGCCATTTTCTCGCCCAATCGACACGTCCAGTTTATTATCGCTGAAATAAATTATTCAGCTCACATAATTTCTCCTGCCCTGCCGCCTTCTCTTCCGTCTGCTCTACCCTTACGGCCATGTCTGATCTCGATGAAAAGATAAGAGCAGAAAGAGAATGTCTGCCAGCGGTTATCCCGCAGTTGGCAAAGTAAAGAGCATTTGCATCGAAATAAACAGCAATGAATCACAATTGAAAGTCAGACGCTAGCTTCCCGCCTCAGAGAAGCAAGAAGGACATTCACGGAGACAAAAGCAATTGGAATCAGCTTCGCGTCGCTCAAGAATGACCCAAACTCCTTCCAGCTAAGAAAAGAAAGAAGAAAAAAAAAAAAAACGAATCTCATTGATAAACAGTTAACGTTCATGTTTGCCCGCTCGAAGCAAACAAACTGTCAATGTTTGAGTTGAGATTAATATATGATTTTTCCTTATACATTTTTAGAACTAATATTTTTCGGCTTTTTTTTTTTTTTTTTTGGCTGTATTTGAAGATAATTTAGATATTTTGAATCTATTTAAAGATTATGTAGGTTTGGTTACTGTTACCGCTTACGACTCTGAAAGCGAATAAATGGCGTGAGAGTTCAAGTCTTTTCGTTTCAGACATTTCATTCAAATCGCGCTTTTAATGCTATTTTAAAAAAAAAAAAAAAGAAATATGTTTTCCTATAAGTTATGTCGTGTTATAAATGGCTATTAATGCCATTTCGAAACGAATGTAACACTTCTCTCTGTTAAAATACTAGCGCAGACTAAGTATTTTAGCATTCGCAGGGTAACTCTTCTAGGAGGAGAAATTTGAATTAAAAAATATGGAGAAGAAAATGAAATGAAACCATTTCCAAGCCACTCTTCGCTACCTTCTATCAGCATGGCTGATGCTAACCACCAGGAAACGACTTGTTTCGCCTTCTGGAGCTAATGTTCTCGGCCGACATGAACTGAAAAAAGATTATATTGAATATATTGCTAGGTCATTTGCTATGAAAGTCTGTTTACTGTGTCGTGCTAGACAATCTTCCTCTTCAGACTCTATCTTACATATCTATATGTCTACCATTCGTCCATGCCTAGAATATTGCTACCACATATGGTCCAGTGCCCCTTCTATTTACATTAAAATCCAAAGATGAATCAGTTATATTAATGGTCTGGCGAGCCGGCTTCAGTCACTCTCCTCTCGATGAGCTTTCCGCTATGATACATACCTTATGAATTTAAGCGCAGTATTAGACTGGCGCCGAGATCTCATCAATTTACATTTGAGCTGGCTAGATGTAGCCGTAAATTCAATGCTAACAGATTCTTTTCTTGCCCTTTTTGCTTGCGGCTCCATGTTTTCCAGCCGTCTTTAATCTGCCAAAATTTAAATGCAATGTCAATCGCTACCTACTGTCCTCCTGATTACTCTTTTCTCTTCCCACTCATTTGTAATTTTTCTGTTTCTAAATCTTCTACAACCTGTAACCCCCTTGCGTCTTAGGGGCTTTACCGCCTTGCATGGGGTGATACCGAGAAAAAAAAAGAAAGGTCAAGAGAATGCATAGTTTAAAGGACATTATAAATGAAGCTATGGAGAGCCTTAATCACTTCCGTCCTCTAGGTACAAGGTAATTAAGTCGGAGGATAACTTATTTATATGTGTACTTTCTGTTTGTTTATACGCCATTTTGATTGATAAGATATGTATCCTTTGTAATCAGGGATATTCTGAATTTTCTGATTCTTTCTTAATCATCAGGCAATTTAAAAACGAAAATTATGTAATGTTTTTTTTATGAATTCTTATTTTTCTTCTTACACTGCTATTTTTTTTTCGGTTTTTCTTTCATAATTTCATTCGCCGAATAATTTTTTATCGGGTTATGCCTTCTTCTCTAAGTCTTCCATTTTGTCTTTATCATTTTTTCTTTGTTATTATTTCGTCATTATCTCCATGTTTGCAGCAGTTACCTATTTTTACTCCATATTTCATTCATTGTTTGTTTCTTTATTTAATTATTTCTTCTCTTTCCTTTTCTTTTATTTCTTTCTTTTCTTTTTTCTGTGTTATTTATTTCGTTTCTTTCTATCTTCGCTCTCATTACTTTCTTTTTTCTTTCGCATTCCTTTTCCTTTCTTTCTTTCTTTCTTTCTTTCTTTCTTTCTTTCTTTCCTCTGTCATATTTCTTTCTTTTCTTTGCTTTCTTCTGCCTTATCTCTTTCCTTCTGTCTTTCTTCCTTTCTTTATTTAACATATTTCCTACCATTACGTACTTTAAATATCTCTTTTTTATTACGTTTTATTTATTTTTCATAATTTTTAAGCTGATACACCATCTTTTTTTCATATGGCTTTCATATGACTTTGCATTTTTCTTTCTTTCTTTCTTATTACTTTCTTCATCGCAATTCGATCGTTTTTCTTTCTTTTTTCTCTCGTTTTCTTCATATTTTATTTGTTCCTTTTCTTTTTCTTTCTTTCTTTCTTTCTCGCAGTTTTTTTTATTTACTTATTTTATGCTTCCTGCTTTCTTTTCTTCTGCCTTATTTTCTTTCTTTTTTTCTCTTTTTTCAGCACTTACATAGTTTATTTGTTACTTTTCTCTTTCTTTTGGGTCCTGGGTAAGACGATAAACTGCATCCAATAGCAAAGCGTTTGATCATCAGGTTTTGAGGAGTGTGGAACCATCTCTTAATTGTTGGTGTTCCCAGGACCACCCTGACCGGGGTGGGAGCACTTCCCAGGGTCCCCAGCTATGGGCAAATATTTAACCCCTAAACTGTGGCCAAAGCGCTATGAAAGTGTAAAAATAGGTTTTAATACTATCAATGCATTTTTGGAAAAAAAATATTGGCGGCAATGAAAATCATGTCGGCATGAAATGACCCACTGAGTTTCATATGTCGTAAAACAAACTCTTTCTTTCTTTTTCTTTCTTTCTTTCTTTTTTCTTTCTTTCTTTCTTTCTTTCTTTTTCTTTCCTTCTTTCTCAAAGTCTTCTGTATTTAATTTTTTTTGTTGCTTCCATCTTTCTTTTATTCTTTTTTTCTTTCTTTTTTCTTGCATTTTCAAAAGTTACTTTCTCACGGCTTCCTGTAATTACGCACTTTACTTCCTTTTTCTTCCTTTCTGTCTGGATTTTCCTTCTGCATTTAGGTACATTTCTTTTTTGTCTTTCTTTTCTTCTCGCTTTAATTTCTTCACTTTTTTTTTCTTGCGTTTTTAAAAGTATCTTTCTTTCTTTCTCACGTGTTTAGACAGTTTTACATTTTCTTACTTAAGAATTTCCAGTTTTTCTGCCTCTCTTTATTTCTGACGGTTTTTTCTGCATACGGATTTTTCTTTCTTTGTTTCTTTATTTCTTCTTTGTTTTTTTCTTCATTCCTTTCTTTCTTTTTTGTTTAATTTACTTTCTTTTTTCTTGCGTTTTCAAAAGTATCTTTCTTTCCCACGGTTTTTTGTAATTAAGCCCTCTCACTTTCTTTATTTCTTTCATTTGAAGATTTACTTTACATTTTCTTCTTTCTTTCTTTCTTTTCTGTTGTTTTATCTACTTTCTTTTTTTTTTTTCGTTTTCAAAAGTATCTTTCTTTCTTTCTCACGTCTTTTTGTAATTAAGCCCTTTTACTTTCTTTATTTCTTTCCTTTCCTTTCGATTTTCTTTACATTTTCTTCTTTCTTTCTTTCTTTCTTTCTTTCTTTGTAATCTTTTTTATTTTTATCCTTTTTTTTTCGTCTGTATTTCTGTTATCATGTCAGTGTCATATCCATTTTATCTTATCCGATCTCTCCAATGCAGCCATGTTGTTTTTTATTTATTTACACTAGAAAACATGAGATAAATTATCTGTGAGGAAACATTAACAGTCATTACATTTCACTAGTCTTACTTTCATCTTATTTCCCGTGTTATTCTTATCGATATTACTTATCAATTATTCTACAACTATATAATAAGTAACGTGCTAGTTAAACATTAATAAAGCCTCTCAAGTCTGGCACAACGCAACGTAGCTTCACTGAGCCTTTTCCATAAATATTTTCATTGTACTTATTCTGATGGGCTTTTCTTCTTTGGTGCCTAGACATTACAAAGTTAAGTGCTGTACTAGATTAGTAGGTAGATTTCATCAATTTACTGCTTAAATGGCTGTATGTAACCGCAAGTTCTTTGCTAACAATTTATTCTCTCAGACTTCACGTTTTTGAGAGCTCTTTTCCCGTTTCTTGTTTCCGTGTCAATATTGATCTTAAAAATGTAAATGCAATATCAAGAGTTACCGTCTGTCTTTTGAATTAATTTTCTTTTATTGTCCTCTCTTTCTAATAAAGTTTTCTTTTTCACATTCCTTTGTGTCTTAGTGGCTTTATTGCCAGGCGTGGTGTGAAATGATTAACAAAAGTTTATAATCACAGAGTAAAGGCATTATATTCGTGCGAAAAATTGCCCTAGAGTTAACGTCTTTTTTTTTATTGAATGGCTACTGTTTCTTCTTCTGATAGCCGTGTCCCTGGTTCAATATTGCTCTGCACAATTCCCTATTTTTTTGTAGTTCTATTTATTTCCTTTCTATCGTTCTGTCATCCATTTACAAAAGCTGATTATGTTAGGGCTAACCCGTGCCTTCAATATTTCTTGTGAGTGTTATATTTTCTAAGCCCTTTCACTTCATTACGTGCTCGAGAAATTTCAACTGTCTCTTATTGATTTTAAGTACAAAAGTCTTTTTTGACTCCATTTTTCTTCAACCTTTTTCCAGCTTACGGCCATATCCCATTGAAACACTGGTTCTTGTCCGATCACCGAAGTTAAGCATCGTCAAGCCTTAAGTAGATAAGTGTCCACTGGAGAATACTGTACGCGTGCATGTTCGGGTGGTGTAGTGGATAACGGTTCGAAGTTGTAAATCATAGAATCAAGTTCTAATTCCAGTTGGGTTCGTTATATTCACTTAAGAGAAAATAACATGAGGACAAATATGAATCCATCTACCTTCCCCTCAACTATGGGTTAATTAGAAGGATTTGCATTTGTAAAACATTATCTACAAAATATTCTTACAATCTAAAAATATTATCTGGCTCTAAATAACACCCAAAAGGAGGATAACCCGTATCAGAACAAATCAGCCCATCAATCAAACCTTCTTCGTTGTCACATTGTTCAGTCAATGGAATACTCATCATCCTTCTGTAGAATCACGTCTCTGTTGTCACAAGTGTTTTCTTCATTTGCCATAGAGAAGAATTGATATTACGTAATATTTCAGCTGCTGCTCTCGAAAAGGAGCTTCGATCTGGGGTAAGAAGTAGCGAGTAAGTTTTAATGCCTCCAAAACGAAATTGCTCTCATTTATCAACCGCAGAGATAATTCCCTGTCCTCCATTAGCATGGCTGATGCAGGACTCCAGGAGAGTATTTCACTGTGCCTTCTTGGTCTCAGTCTTTCGAATGACGTGAAGTGGAACAACTTCATTGAATCAATAGCTGCATCTAGTGCAAGGAAACTTGGTTCACTGTGTCGCGTCAGAAGGTTTTTCTCATCAGAGGCTATCTTACATATCTACAAATCTACCATTCATCCGTGCATTGGATACTTTTACCATATCTTGTCTAAAGAATTTAAAGTAGTAAGACTTTTGGTCAAGACCCCCAGTTAAAGAAAATCTGCTCCGAATCGTTAAAAACTATAAAACTAAGACATTATTCAAGTAGAAAAGCTTTCATTGCTTTTATAAATAAAATATATTATGGACACTATTGACTTAAGATTTATTTCGATGAATATTTAGACAAGAATTGTTTTATTTTTTTATTTAATTTTAATTAGAATAATTCATAAAGTTTTAAATCTTTTAAAATTCTGTATTAATTTGTAGCGGTCAAGTGATATCCAAGGATCTTCAATCATTGGTGAACTGGGGTAAGAAATAGCTTTAATACCTCCAAAATAAAATTGCTCTCATTTAGCCACCATAGAGATAATTCCCTGTCTGCCATTAGCATGGCTGATGCAGGACTCAAGGAGAGTGTTTTTCTACGCCTTCTTGGCCTCACGCTTTCGAATGACATCAAGTGGAACAACTACATTGAATCAATAGCTGCATCTAGTGCAAGGAAACTTGGTTCACTGTGTCGTGCCAAAAGGTTTTTCTCATCAGAGGCCATCTTACATATCTACAAATCTACCATTCGTCCGTGCATTGAATACTGTTGCTATATCTGGTCTGGTGCCCCAGTTATTCATTTCGTCGTCGTTGACAAAATCCAAAAAATAATCTGCAATATAATCGATCCTGACTACTTGGCATCTCGACTTCAGTCACTTTCTCACCGACATGATGTGGCTTCCCTCTGTCTTTTCTACAAATATTTTCATGGTAACTGTTCTGTCAAGGTTTTATTTTCCCCTGGTGCCACGACTACATAAATTTAAGCGGACTAGCATCTAGGTCCTACCTTTTTACCGTTGAAATAACTAAATGTTCCTACCACTTCTACTCCAACAACCTCTTTTCGCCCACTTCCCGCCTGTGGAACTCCCTTTCGTTTAATTCCTTCCATGATAACTAGAATCTTCAAAAATTTAAATGCAACGTCAATCGCCATCTTCTGATGTCTTGAACCCCGTTCATCTTTTATCCATTCCTCATTCCCCTTATACACAGTTATTTTTTTCTCTCACCTTCACTATTTGTAAACCCCTGTAAAACAGTAACAACTCCGCCATGCTTGGGGTTGAAATGCTTTAAAAAAAAAGACTCTTTTCTTTGTTTCTAATTATTTTTTCCCTTTCTAAATACATTGCTTAACTTTTGGAAGGCATCTTTTGCTATCCCAATGTATCTTTGAATTTCGGTGTCACATTTTTGTCCACCAATAAAACACTTCTCAGATATTTACATTTTCGTAGTTGCTTAAATTTGATGATCGTAAAGAGGTACCCCATAGTTTTACCCTAGTTCTACATCTAAGCTATGCTTAGTAAATTACTAGGGCACCTCGACGTGGGGTAATGGTTAGCAAGCTTGTCTCACTAGATCAATTACGATCGGGTAATAAGTTCGATCATCAATGGATGCTCTATACTTTCATCCTTGTGCAGCATGTAAACCATGCTTAGTATAACACCTGGTTACCTCAAGGTGGTGTAATGGTTAAAAATCTTGTCACACGAGATCAGTTACAACTGACTAATGTTCGATTCTCACTGGGTACGCTATACTTTCGATTCTGTGCTGCATCTAATGCTGCACTTAGCAAATAATTTTGGGTACTCTGCCGTGGTGTAATAATTAGCAAGCTTCTCTCTGTAGATCAATTAAGGCTGATAAGTGAGTTCGATAATCATTGGCTACCCTATAATTTCGGGATTGTACCACATCTAAATCACATTTAGAATATCACCATACCAAGGCACAGCTTAATTCTGGCGTGAAAGTTTTTAGAGAATACAACTTTGGATATCTTATTTGCTAAAGATTAAAACTTAAAATAAAAAAAAGAAACGTTCGTCGCATTTTACGTTTTAACATTGTTCTAAACTGTTTCCTTTCTCTTACCTATTAAAATGTTGGCTTGAACAAGGGCACTTACTGAGGAAGAAGTTGGAACAAAATTCACTTTCAGAGTGCTAACATTAGAGTTTCCCTTCTGTGCGAAATCGTCAATATAAATTTCTGAAAAAAAAAAAAATGGAAAAAAAAAAAAAATAAATGCCCCTTTGCGAAATAATCACATTGTTCTACCCCTGGGAGCCTTTCTAGAGAAATATAATCAAGCGTTACATTTGCCAAGGGACTGGAGTTGAATAAAAAGAAAAGTAATGCGTATGCATGTATGTGCGCGTGTATGTGTGTGCCCGCGTGCAAGATTAAACTTATATTTCTCTCCTCTGTCTCGTTGAAACGGTTCTTTGTATGAAGATCTGTAATTATGTAAAATAGTTTTCTCAAACTTTTTAAAATTAGGTACAAAAAAAAAAAAAGAAAAAAAAAGCAAGAAACAATTTGCACGAAGGTTCTGTAAGGCGATCGATCCTAACATGGCATCTCCAAGTCAGTCAATTTCTCACCGAAGTTTATATACCTTTGGCTTTTCTACGAAAAAAAAAAAAAATTGGCAATTGTTCTGACAGGCTTTCCTCCTTGGTTGCTTCGACTGCGTGAATTTAAGCCGATACGACGAGATTCCAACTAAGTCTCCCATTTTTCCTGTTGAACTAGCTATAAAATATTTTTATTTCTATATCTGTATATATATATATATATATATATATATATATATATATATATATATATATATATATAGTTGGATTCAAATGTGAGTTTAAATAATGACCAAAGGGTTTAAAACTCTTTCTAACGATCATCAGACAAACTGACGTTCGCAGAAATGGAAAGAAAGGATCATCGAAAATAAATAGACATTTGTGACATTAAATTATTTAACTTAAAATTTCTTGAATGATAACTTTCTGCATGATTTCACGCATTTCATATATATATATATATATATATATATATATATAAATATATATATATATGTATATATTTTAATGAATTTATATTTAACATTCAAATACATACAAATATTTAAGTAAATGCCCTGTTTATAATAAATAAGTATTAAATAACATTTACTGAAATATTTTTATCTGAAAAGATTTGTAAAAATATAAAATGTCTTTTGTTTTCTTTTTTCCA